GTAGGAGATCTGTAGATGGAAGCGGTGCATGAGATGCAGAGACAGGAGCGATAGATAGAGTGATAATAATAGGAAGAATAGAGTTCTCAGAGAAAGACAAGTGTTGGAAGTGACAGAGACAATTAGAAGAGTGGGCACAGCGAGAGTCACGGTGAAGAGGGGAAAGGAGACAGAATGGAGGTGGATGGAAGACAGGAGCGAGAGAGAAGAATAGAAGTTAGGGGATTAGGAGGAGTAGGAGGAGTAGAGTAGAGGAGTAGGAGTAGGAGGAGGAGTAGGAGGAGTAGGAGTAGGAGTAGAGTTAGGAGGAAGGAAGTAGGAGGAGTTATGAGTAGGAGGAGGAGTGGGGGGGGAGGATTATGAGGAGGAGTAGGGAGGAGGAGTAGGAGGAGGAGGAGGAGGAGTAGGAGGAGTAGGATAGGAGTAGGAGGAGGAGAGTAGGAGGGAGGGATAGGGGGAGTAGGAGGAAGACGGAGGCAATCAAGACTGGACAAACAACACAAAAGACGTGGAGTTAGGAGGGAGACAGATTAAAAGGGGGGGTGGAGGGGGGAGTTATGGGAGTAGGGGAGGGGTGGGGATGGGGGAAGGTATAGTTGTAGTAAGGGACAAATAGACATGATTAGTGAGAATCAAAACAGAGGAGAGGTGCAGAGAGAGAACAAGTGAACACATATACAGGAATGAGTGTTAGGAGCAGGGAGGTAGGCAGTTCTGGAGGGGCGGGAAACTAGAGGAGGGGGAGACTATGACAAGAGATGAGAGCAAGATAAGGGAGTGGGTATCTATAAGGAGTAAGTGGACAGAACATGTCTATGGGTCTGGTATTGGGGAGTAGTGCGGTTTCTACAGTGGAAAGATATATGACAATAGAGTAACTGTGGAGAGAGTTGATACGAAGATATATGAGTAGAGTAATAGGACAACAGAGACAATAGATTAGAAGGGCACACAGGACAGATACAACATGTAAGAATTTATAGACAGAGAAGCTGGATAGGAATTGACAGGAACATTTCACGATATAGGAGGGACTTACTATTAGTGAATGAACAGGTAAAAGAGAAGAGCTATAACTGACACAACAGTGTTGATGAGAATGAATGTAGTCTACAAGAGAGACAATGACACAGGGAGAGATATGTGAGACGATGATTAGGTGAGAATAGTAGGAAGACTCATCAGAACGGTTAGACTGGAGTAGAATTATGGATTTAAAAGAATAATAAGTATCAACATGAGGAAAGAGAATATAAGTGTGAAGAGGGAGATAGATATTCTCATTAGATATTACAGGGGACATCAATACAAAGAGTGAGTATCTCATGGGAGAGATGATATGTATTAGTCTAAGATGAAGATTTGAACGGATAGAAGGAGAAGTACACAAAAGGAATTAGAAATACGTTGTGATAACAGGAGAGATACGAAGAATGACAGAGAAGGAGAGATCAAGAACAGATCTATGAATAGATATCTAAATGATAGGAGAGGACGTGATGAAATTATATCAGTATAGTGGGAGATTACAGTATGGCTAGAAAGCGTGCATTAGATGGATGGTGCAGAGATGTAGGAATAAGGATGACAGGACTGGGAGATGTGATTAGAGTGATCAGAGAGGGGCAAGAAGAGGACTGGATAACAAGGTTCATTAGGCAGAGGGACACTCAAGAGGAGATGGGATAGTGGTATATCAAGTAGAGTATTCTGTGTTGGGTGGTGTCTTGCTAGGAGTTGTAGTGGACTCAGGTGGGTTGGTAGGCTTGTTGGTGAGGCGATGGTGTAGATGAGTATTACACAGTTTCAGTGGGAGGGAGGTGACGCGAGGTGTGAATGAACAGAGGATGAAAGTTATTCAGACAGTCTTATCAGATATGAGGTAGAGGGTAGAGCGTGGAGTATATATATATTTATGGTGTTCACTCTTCGTGAGTGATAGTTGGATTTCAGACAATGTGAGTAATATAGGACACATGAGATGGGTGGTGGGTGGTGTTGAGTTGCGAGGTTGTGATGCATGCAGAGGGCAGATAGAGTACGTGTGGCTAGATGGCTGGAGACCGGTAGGAGTGGATGGACAGTATGAGGTGTGGAGATAGAGGGGAGAGAGGGGTAGAAGTGTCATGTATGTTGCAGAGGGATTGGGGATATAGTGTGTTTGAAAGAACACAGGTAATCAATCACAGCGAGGGGATCTATTCTCACTTGCTATTATTAGGGTCTATATCTATCTATTTTTTTAATTTATTCTATATAGTGATAGGTGGAGGAATATATATATATCTATAGGTGGTCTATATGGGATGTGCGGACACACAGAGTGATGGAGGAAGGGATGTCTACTGTTGACAAACAAGGTGGCAGGTTAAGCGAGTAGTGTTATTTGGGGTGACACTGTGGCGATTTTGTACTATGACGTAGTTATTACACAGTACAGATATGGTATAGTATAGGACGTAGATGGGGAAACAGTGATTACGGAAGCAGTACGAACTGAGATGTGAGGTATTAACGGGGTGTGAGTGTGTGATGAGATGTAGTGGATGGTCTATGTGTATGCGGACTGGTGGTCATGGGGAGAGAGTGTAGATACAAAACGGGGAGTGGGTGGGGTGTTATGGGGATGGGATGGACGTCTTGTCAGGAGGGGGAGAGGTGTAGCGTATAGTGGTGGAGGTGAATCTAGGTTGAGTCTCAAGACGCACAGGTTGAAGAGGTATAGACACGAGTATGGGGTACAGGAGGATGTCACTTGTTGGACGAGACAAAGGAGAGGATAATATACACAGATCAGATTTGTGGAACCGGCACACTTAACTACAGTGATGATAGATTTTCTATGCGAGAATCTACTGATTGTAAAAGGGAAGGATGCGAGGGGTATGGAGACTATTACAGAGGGACGGTGTAAAACATAGTAGATGTAGTAGACAGTGAGGTGACAGGTGGAGTGAGACAGGTAGCGACAGTTGGGAACGAGAGCAGATGGGTGACCGGAGGAGAGAGAGTGATATATGACAGTGACGAATCAGTCACAGACTGAGAGAGCTCAACTAGAGAGGACAGAGACACATGAAGACAATTTGAGTAAGCTAGGGAATGAGATGTAAGTACAGACTGTAGAGATGGATTGAATTATAAGGTGGATGGTGTGGTACTGTCAACAGAGAGAGATGGTGTACTATCGACATGAGGACAGGTGGTACAGCTAGAGACATATAGGTGTGGGACTAGGGACGTGTAAGGGCACACAGGAAGAGATAGAGAGAGAGATGAGGGAAGGAGGACAGCACGTGGATCTATGACATAGGTTAGCACAGACACAGACACTGAGGCAGCGTAGAGTGAGGGGGTGACTTCAGACAGGATAGGATGGGGATCAGCACAAGTTGGTGTATGGACTTTGGATGCAGAAGGGGAGTTTATAGAGATGAGATCAATCAGTCTAGATATGTGTGACAGTACGGGAGGGAACATGGTAAGAGGATACTTAGTGTGAGAAGACTAGGACACAATCAGGGATAGACAAGACTGGATTAACAGTCGATGACACACAGACAGTTATGTGACGATACGGACAGTGGAGGTGTCAAACGACACACTAGGGGTGACATATAAGTGCAGGAAGGATATGAGAGACATGACGGTTGCGACAAGGAGGGAGGATGGACTGTACGACCTCGGAGTCTTGGATTTTGCAAATTCAAGAACTCGGAAGAGGGCCGGGACCAGGGAGGCATCACAGCTCAGAGCAGGTTTAACAGAAACCGCCAGAAGTACAGCCAGAGCCCCCATGAGCCCTCACAACGTTGTGACTAACTTCGGAGGCCCGTTTACACAGGCCACTGAAGAAATGACAGACATGGAAGGTGAGAGAGATGAGGCTGACGTTGAAGATGACTCAATGGACCCCGAGGAGGGATCATTGAGCGTAAGAAATGAGGCCGTAAATCACTCTCACCTCGGCATATTGAGAAGACCAACAATGAGAGTGGAAAAGAGGAAAGAACCTGTTTATTCAATTGAACAGGCTTCCATGAGGATTGCGAGAGATGTGAATTACGGATGTCTGAAGACAAAAGATGGAAGAAAGTGTTACGTGCCAGAAGTGGGGCAAACTCAATATGTTGTGTGCCCCCACTGACTGGACGAGAAATCTGGAAGAAATTCTACATGTAGAAGTTTCAGCCCCCAAACGGGAGTGGATCAACTATCTGATAATGCCGAGTTATCAGACATTGAGAAATAATAATCTGCTCACAAATAAATTTCGTAATTCATTTCTCACTATTACACATGATGCGGCGATAAGGCGCTTGAAAAAAGCGGCTTTTCTGTCAGCACAGAGAGCAGAGCAGCAGGGGAGTGAACTCTCAGATCAGGAAACCCCCCTCCTTCTCGACAGCGCAGAACAGGAAGTAACTCGAGCTGAGCGCTGGAGTGACGGTGCTCGTGCACAGGAGAGAAAGAGGAAAGAGCCACTGGCACTGAGGCCTGCTGTGCAAAAAGGTCAAAGGTCACCTGGGCCTGCTGCAGCAGGGAGGAGAGCCTCTGCAGAATACAGCACGATAATAGAAGACTGTTCTGTTCCTGCTAGCTGGGCAGGATTACAGATATTGAAAGCCTTGATCCCAGATAGGCCTGCAGAACAACCAATACAGGACTATCTGAAGCAGAAATGGCGTATAGTGAATAACTCAACAAAAGATCCTGGTGCTAAAAGACTCTGGTTGACATATGTAACAGGAATCTGGAAGACTCCAGAACTGTCACCAGAGACGCACTACAAGAATGCAATCTGTAATGAAATGGACGATGAGGATGGACATGTTGCCTCCGCAAGGAAAGACCTTGAAGCAGGGGCCACGCTCACAGACGTGTGGCAAATAATCGGACCTTTTATCTCTAATGAGAGATGGGTACGTGTCCTGCAGAAAGTGGTAAAGAACATGAGACATGAAACGGAGTTCATTGCATTACACCCAACAGAGACAACGATGGAGGAAATCAAAAGTACAATCGGGAGGTGGGACCGGATCAGAAGCCACGAAAACGAAAGGGGTGGCGGTGGAAGTGCTCGTACTCACAAAAATTATAAGGGCCGGGCAAGTGGGAGTGACCAGCGTCAGGGAGGTAATAAGGAGCACCAGGACGGGGGTCAACGAGAGAAGAAATACCCGGACAAGAGACGAAAGGGGTATCTGCCTCCTGAGGAGTACAACAAGCTGACAGTGGAAGAGAAGATTGCTCTCCGGGCTAAACGTGAGGCGGCAGCCGAGGGAGGACAAGAGAAGAAAGGAGAATAATGGCACGAGTCACGCTCCATAATGTTTACCGGGTGGGAGACAAGTTCTTCACTGATATCGAAGGAACACCCTACCTGGTAGACACCGGAGCAGAAGTGTCCATGACTCGCAGACACTTGGATACTAAAGGATTTGTGAAAATACAGTTAGCAGATTCCTCAATCGCATTGACACCATATGGAATCTGGAAAGGAATCGTCTGGATTCTGGGAGCATATAATTTAATCACCATCAAGGATCTGGAGCAACTAAATGGAAGTAAGGAAGATCGGAACAAGAAAAGAAAGAAGGTTAACAAGAGATTGAAGATACTACAGACAAGACTAACAAAACTCCCCGTGGGAATGGATGCTGCACAGGATATGTCCTGGTACAAACCTGTGAACATTCAAGAAGTCACCGAGGAGAAAATAACGAAGAGTAACCTGTCTCCCGCTGGAAAACAACGCTTAAGGGAGATACTATCAAAAGCAGACATAGCCCGGTTCAAAAACGACTGTGGTGACCTGGGGGATAAATATGTGTACACCATTGAAGGAGGGGTGCACCCCCCCGTGCGCCAGTACCCGCTGAACCCAGCCGCAATAGAAGAAATGAGCACGATAGTAAAAGAGTTGGTGGCATTGAAAGTGATCAGGGAAGAAGCAAACCCTATCACAAATAGCCCGATACAGGCTGTGAAGAAACCTGAAGCAGCAGGGGGAGGGTGGAGGCCCGTGGTGAACTTTAAAGCATTGAATCGGAGAACGATAGCAGATAGAGCCAGTCTGATTAATCCTCAGGCAACGTTGAAGACTTTGAAACTGAGGAAGTGTAAGTCTTGTATTGATCTGGCGAATGGTTATTTCTCTGTGAGATTGGCAAAAGCATCACAGGCAAAGACGGCCTTCACTCACAAAGGAAAAAGTTATGTATGGCTGAAAATGGCACAGGGTCTGAAGACAGCCCCGGCCTTCTTCAGCAGAACAATCATGGAGATTCTATCGGGCATGGACGCGGCTGTCTACATTGACGACGTTATGATCTGTGATGACACAGAGGAACAGCATCTACAACATCTGGAAGCTGTGATTGACAAATTGACGGCAGCAGGGTTAAAACTGAATCTGAAGAAATGTCAACTCGGGCAATTCAATGTGAATTATCTTGGATTTGAGGTGGCTTCAGATTTGGGCCTATCAGACTGTTTTCGTGAGAAAGTGGACAATATAAGGCCTCCCAGAACAATGAATCAACTGCAGAAAATACTGGGATTGCTGAATTATGTGAGAGATCATGTGCCTGGTTATCAGAAGCACGCTAAACCACTTTATGACAAACTGAAGAAACAGCAGAAGCCAGCAGCGTGGCAGTGGACCGAAATAGATCAGAGGAAGTTGACCCTGCTACAGGATGCGGTGAGAAATGCTGTGAGACTGGAGCCACGCAGCACCACAGAGAAACTCTTGGTGCAGGTTTTCTGTGAAGAAGATGATGCAATGGTGAAAGTCTGGAATGATAATGGAGGGCTGGTGTCCCTCTGGAGCTACACATTGTCACCAGTAGAGCACAAATACCCACCAGAAGAGAGAGAACTCGCGGTGCTTGCTCGTTACTGGGCAGGACTGAAGGATCTTGCACAGGGACAGGTGATAAAAGTGATAACACAAAGTCAAGTGCATAGATTCTTAAGAAAAGCCACAGTGGAGAGCACACGCGCGACCAACGCAAGATGGGGCCGATGGGAAGACATGCTGTTAGATCCCGACCTGGAGATTGGGCCAGAGGAGCCGCTAAAAAAGCCCAGGCAAGAGAAGGAGGCCCCACAGCTAGTATATGAATGGATATTATACACCGATGGGTCCAAAAAAGGACCAGACCAGACGGCGTTTGGGGGTACATCCTGAAAAATAAAGGAGAAGAAAAATTTCGACAGCGTGGGCGCGTTCCAGGAAGCGCACAGGCTGGAGAAGTGACAGCAGTCTTGGAAGGACTGCTGGAGTGTGAACGGAGAAAAATTAAACAGGTATTGATAGTAACAGACAGTTACTATTGTGCCCAAGCATTAAGAGATGATTTAGCAATATGGTGTGAAAATGGCTACGAAACCGCAAAAGGAAAAGAGATTGTCCACATGGAGATGTGGAAGAAGATTGCGGAGCTCTTGATGTTTATACAAGTGAATGTGTATCATCAGAAAGCTCACGCAAAAGAAGGAGAGCACTGGGCAGAGAATAAAGAGGTGGATAACTTTGTCCAGTTGCGGAAAATTGTATTAGTTGGTGCTGAGAAGTGGGAACGAACAGAGAAAGGAAGAATCGTTCCCAGTGAGTGCATAATGGAGACCGTGATGGCTGTCCATGAAGAAATTGGCCATGCGGGGATTAAACCCACTCGCAGGGAATTGGCGAAGCTGGATCTTTGGATCAGAGAGAAGGAAATAAGGAAAGTGCTGAGAGAGTGCACTGTTTGTGGTCAGTTCAACGCTGGAAGAAGAGTAAAGAGGTCAGATGACCTCACAATTAAAAGCACCGTGCCATGGGGCTCAATCTGCATGGACGTGGCAGGGCCAATGGGAATCTCAGGGAAACAGGGAGAACGCTATCTGATTGTGCTGGTGGACTCTATGTCTGGGTACATGGTAGCAAAAGCAGTGAGGAATGCAACAGGAAGTGCTGTAGTAACCATGCTGGAGCAGACATGCTGTGCTCTGGGAAAACCGAGAGAGCTTCGGACGGACAACGGAACACACTTCAAAAATAAGAAGATGGATGCATGGTGCCAGCAGAACGGAGTTTTTCACGTTTATGCTCCTGTGTACACACCACAGGCAAACGGAATAGCAGAGAGAACTATTGGCTTGGTGAAAACATGGATAGCAAAGAATGCAAATAGCAAAGAGTGGAGCACGAAGATGTTGGAGCTGTCCAGGGTCCTGAATGACAGATTCAGGGCAACGAGGAAGTCACCAGCTGAAGAACTGAATAAACGCCCCTTCACGTCATTGGAGATAGGGCGGGGACCTGAACAAAAGCATGATACTCAGGGAGAACACCGACCACTGACAGTCGGTCAGCAGGTGTGGATCAAAGCACAAAATCCTTCAACTGGATTGGCGGTTAAGCCAAAATACGACCGCAAGGACACGGTTGTGGAGATTTTGGATCACAATACAGTAAGGCTGAAGAAAGCTGGGATCCAAGGAGTCGCGCAGCTGAAGCCAATTTCACAGCTGAATAATTAGGAGACGAGTATGGCGACAAAACCTCAAGACCTTCCACACTTCATTCACGTCGCCATGATTAAAGGTGTGGTTGTTATCAGACGTACAAGGATAGGGCTTCTGTCAGGAAGAGCCCTGGGGAGTTTGAGGAGAGCAAAGGAGGGGGTCGTTTCCGAAGAGAAGGAGAAATTACAGTGGGGGAGTGTGAACAACTCCTGCGCCATATGCTGGACACAGAGTGGATTGGAAATTCTGTGGGAAGGTCCGGGCGCGAGCAGACCTAGGACCCCAGGTCGATGCAGAGCTGAGTTTAGGAAGATGGGTCTTAAACCAGTAAAAGCTTTGGATGCATTTATTTGTGCAGATTGTCGCATCACTACTGCACCAAGGTTAGTAGTGATGTCTCAACGTTATTCTGGAGCATATGGCAGTGACATGTCAAGCTGCCTCTGTACATGGGATGGAGTACAGCTGGGCATGTGTGCATGGTGTGAGTCATGCAGGGCTCGTGGAGCCCTCGTGGAAATCATAGTAGTGGAGGGATGGCAAGTGCGCAGATTTCTGGACGCCATCCATTATCGGACCCCGAGGCTGGAAGAGGCCTGGGGAGGAGGCGAGGGGATCGGCAGACGAAGAAGAGGATGGGATTACGACAGCACAGTACCACCGGAGCCCCATGTTTCACAGTGGGAGGAAATTCTGAGGAGCTGCTGGCCTGACACGGTCAGAACAGGCCCCAGACCAAATGCTGTGGTACCCTCTTTCCCTGTTTTTAAGGCATGTGGAATAAACTACATGAAGGAGTTTGACCACATGAATTTGTCAGAGGGGAGAATATGTACATGGAGAGAGATTTTGGATGAAGTCTTCACATGTGGAGATGGAGTGCAGGAGCTGGGCCCGGTGCCAAGTGAGAGAGGTATACGAAGTACTGCTCTCTATTCGAACATGACAAGTTTGGATGCATGGGGTTCGTCCACCACTGTCTCAGTTGGACGACACAAGGATTACCTGGTCTCCACTGTGGAGGGTCAGGTAAGCGATGCCAGAGCAATACGGGTGATGGTGAAGTCTGTGATTCACCCACAGGGAGGTGTGGTTTCAGTGGGAGCAGGCATCTCTGTTTTAACAGATGCATGGTGTGCTGGAACAGAAACTACTACCAAAATAGTGGGACGAAAGTCATGGATGCAGAGGCTCCGCTCTTTGGGAGCGAGGCTTTGGCCAGGACGGGACGAAGCCACACCTGCTCAAGAGAGGAAGTAATTTCTGGACAGGACCAGGAATTACAGGAGGAGGTGAGAGGTGCAGAGCTGTCATCGAAAGAAGGTAGAAGATACGCCCCAATTCTAGGGGAGGGGGAGGAGATGAGATAGTATAAAAGAGGATCCTCTCCCTGGACTGGGGAGAGTTGACAGCTGAGTGATGGAGCAAGAGAAAAGAAAAGCTACATTGAAGCGAGGAAAAAGAAGAGCTGCAGTGAAGATATTATTTTTCCTGCTTATTGGGGTTTTTTCGTCGGACTGGTGAAATGTCTCTTGAATGGGAGAGCCCCCACCGTGGTGTTTGCCACCACAAGAACTGTACAGATGTCCTGTGCAGAAGTGAGGGAAGAGACATTGAATTTTAACTTTTCAGCTGAAGATTGGACCATATTAACTGGGAAACATGGCTCAAAAGAAGAAGCCATGAGGGCAATTCAGGCCACAGTCCTCCGGCAGAACTGGAATGACGCAAGAGGAACAATAACAGACTTCACTGTGCATGAGCATGGGGTCATAATCTCGGGCCTAGTAGCAGGAGAAGTTGCAACCCGAGAGGCACGTGTGAACTATGTCATAATAGAAGGAGAGGAACCAAGATATTACTACACACAAGCGTGTGTGACGGAGAGAAACTTCACTTTCTGGCGTGAGGAAATTGTGACTCAGGCCCCAGAATTGAACGTGACTCTCTGTGAGGAGGAAATGTTCAAAACAGACCTATTTTGGGGTTATCTGAATTTGACATGTACAGAAGAAGCACTGCCCACTCCGATTCCAGAACAGGTTCCTACAGGAGGAATCGATGAAGAAGAGACTCCAGGACCTGTAGGAGATGTGCACTCTGATGTGACAGAATGCATACATGAAAAGGTCCTGAAACTGGACCCCTGTCTATGGAACTTGGGAGAGGTGAGGTGCGAGAAAGAGAATTTTTTGGTGCTTTGTAAAGCCCAAGAAGAGCCCGAATCCTACGGCAATCAGCCCAGGGGATCGGGAAAAATTGAAATTGATGAATGGCTCAATAGCACACTCCCCTGGATATGGAAGACAAATGTGAACCATTTCAGAAGGGGCCATTTGGATGTGAGCCGGAGGGGAGAAGGGAAATCGATGGTGGCAAGAGGCCCCATTTCGAGTGAAATGTACGTGCAGAAACTCCCAACACCAGACGATCTGGAGACAATCCCAGAGAAAGATTTTTCCAGGATTGATCGGTGTGCAGTTGAAGCAATGTATAAGGAGCTGCATGGAAGAGAATACAGCCAGGGAGAACCCCAGTCCTATGTGTGGGCTTCCCCGCGGTGCGATATCGTGCAGGTGGGGGTGTGGGAGAGTGGATTCTGGAAATATAACTGTTCCAGAGTAAAATCTCTGAGTACTATGAAGGCTGTTTTGGAACAATGGCCGCTAGTATTTGGGAAATTACAAAAATCACGTCCCTGGTGGGGGCTTCAGAAGGAGGAAATGGAAAGCTGGGTCCTCCCGTGTCTAGGGATGACACAGAATTATTGGGTAAAATATCAGTACGTGGCATCTGTCTATTCAGCGGCAGATGGTATTGCAGAATGGTATCTCTGGACAGGCTTGCGGCCAGTCGTGGTTTTAACCCCACGACCGTGGAAGATGAATTGTGAAAGCATGAAGATGTGCACGGTCGAGCTGGCAAGACGACCGTGTATGGAGATACCAGGATGGGGAGAAAGCTGCGCTGCCTGGTACAGGACTGACTTCAAATTGTACCGTCAAGGGACAGTGTGGGTTAAGACCGACACAAAGAAGCACCCCACTGGCAGCGGGGGACAATAGTTTGGAAAGAAGGATGTAATAGTAATCTCCTCGGGACATTGCCTGCAGGAGACGAGCGGGAGGGGGCGGTGGTTCCCCCCGTGAATCCAGGTGAACTGACTCGAATGGAGGGACACGCCTGGAGAAGAAGCTTGTGTGAAGGACAGGAAGATCAAGATGATTTCGACTGGGTTGGGGACACGCATTTCTTCAGTAATGATACATGCAACCAACCAGACCTGAAATGGTTAAAATGTGGAGACCACAATTGCTCCGTGATAGAATTGTATTTGGAAACACTTCTGGAAGCAGGAGAGGCAGTGCCATCTGTGATTCTGGACACAATAACGACAGAGGCTGGCGTAGCACTTCAAGCTGCGGAAACTGCCTGTGAGGCGTTGCTGTGGGGGGCTGGCGCAATTTTGGCACTGGTTGTTGTGCTGGGATTATTGCAATTTGCGGTCAAACGGTTGAAAAGAGGAAGGAGTAGGAGAGGCAAAGGTTTGGAGAGGGCGGTGACGTTAACGGATTTAAGATTCGGTTAACACACGCCGAAGAAAGACTCTGACTAAAGACGTCGACGCAGTAAGATCAAAAATGGAAACGACAGCAGAACAAGAAATGACCAATATTACTCCAACTGCGGACCCTGGCATCATCGAGCCAGGGGTCGAGTATTGGGTCGAATGGATGTCCATCGAAAGTCTGTGGATCTTGTATTCAATTACAGGGTTCTGGGGACGGAACCAGGGCTGGAGAACGGTGGCCATTTTTAACGGCCTCGTTCATGTGGCGATGGAAAACGTGATCAGGAGGAAAGAGATATATAACACCTCCTTTTTCGTGGTTTTCCTTCTTGGAAGAGTTAAAATTGATACGTCTCGCCACGGGTTGACCAGAGGAGCTCTTTTGCTCCTGTGGTTAGCGTTGGATGCTGCATCACTGTGGATTGGCCCTGTATTTTGGGCAACCAAAGCCTTGGAGGGCTTTACAGTGTGCTTGATTTTACTGTGGCTGTATACCCAAGTGACACAGCTGCGAGGAACCAATGCGCCATATTGGGTGGTGAAGCTGCTGAGGCTCGTGGTTTGGGGCCTCGCGTGGGGAGTCTTGTCCGCCCTGTTCCTGACTGGATTTACCACAGACCTACCGATGGTTTGCCTGTTTCTGCTGTACGGATACTTGTTTCCGATTCCAGAACTGAAGGATGGGCCTGATGTTCCTGGACGCAATCCGTCATTTAGAATTAGTCACATTTACGAGGAGGTCCCGTTGCCCCGAGTATAGGGCGGCTAGGACCGTACATGCTGCACGCTTTTGCTCATCATATAATCAAGATGGATATTTGTATGTTATTCTTTTACTATTTTTTGCAACAAGAAGAATCATGGCCTGTCAGAAGGAGAACAGAAAAGAAGGAAGTACCATGGGGACTCAAGAGCAGAGAAGTGGAGAAAGGAGGGGTGATTTTGTCTGTGTTGTGCAGCGGCGGAAGTGCTCACAATCTATATATACACATGAGGGATAGCCTCACAGGTCAAAAACAGCTGGAGAAGATGGCCTCAACAGCTTGTTGTGTGAGTTGTTTGGACAACATTGCTTTGGCGGGACACCTGTGGCAGGCCATGACGGGACTCATGTGTACCAAGTGTTTTTTGAATCTTCCGCAGTCTGTTGCGGTCTATGGATACATGGAAGGTCCTGGCAGGGAGCCAGGACTTCCAGCGGTGCCACCCATGCTGGCATATATTTTAGAGTCAGGATGGCGAGTGACTTGGTCAACTGCGGCGCTCACTGCGTGCATGCCAAGAACAACCATCGAAAGTTTTACACCCTGTTTTTCAAAGTTTTGGGTCGGGCCAGACGACGCCACCATACACTCTGTCCATGACAGTACGGATGGTAGGATGCTTTTGGCTACAAAAGCATACCCACCACTGCAACTCCAGGGACTGGAGTTGTTGACAGCTGTCGCTTCCGCTGTCGAACCGGAACCAGAATTGGGAGTGAAGGATCTGACCCAGCCTCAGCAGTCTGGGAAAGCAGAGCCTGCACAGAGGACTGTGCCGGCCAGGGAAAGCAGTGTCCCTGTTACGGGACCAGAGCCAACCCTTGTGAAACTTCAGAGCCAGGAGAAGCACCGCTTGGAGAGAGAGAAGGCGAGACACCGAGAGAGAGAGCTGAGAATGTGGGGGTCGAGCAAGCAGCACGCAGACCACAGACATCGAAAGAAACAGAACCCATGGCCACCAGCGAGCGGTCGTCCGCTGGTGAGACGAGAGCCACGCAAGGAAACAGAGGAAATACGGAAGAGGTCAGCTGAAGGCCAGAGGAAGGAGCAGCCTCTCGAGGGTCCCAGGGTTGAAGGTCAGGGAATGTTGGATTTCATTGATCTCTCCCCCCCTCACGGTTTTGACTTTTGAGAGAGTGATAGTCATGAGTTGATAGCTTAAACTTCTGCTAAAATTGCATAGGAGGGGGCTTGGTGTTTGTTTTGTCTGTCAGACCTCTGCTCTTATCACCCTCAAGAGTCACAGCCTTACAGAGAATGGGAAACTCTGAATAATATCCTAATACTCAAAGCTATACTATACACTTGAATTTAAACAAAAAAATATTAACAAGTTAAAGTTTAAAATAAATAAAACTACACTAACCACCTGGTGTATGTGGGGTCTCTTACCATTTAACAACTAATAACTATTAAAAACTTATCCAAACATATGGTAAATACTGTTTTATGTGAAACCCATATATGACACACACAACACAATCCTCATTTATCGACCATGTCCCCCTTACTTTTAATGTAAACATGTGTCTGTAAATACATATATGTGTGTGCTGCTGTATGTGTATGTCAAATACACAAAATGAACGAGTGGTATGTGTTCATATGTTCTTTGAGTAGGAAACAGACTTATAATATTCTTGGTTTTATTACGTGTACTGTAGCATCATCACAGTGTTAAAGACTTACCATTTCCATATTCTTGACCTAGAGAGTGTTCTAGATTTATTTACAGATGTGTAAATACAAGTATACATTTATTTACACTAGAGTACACAATACTTTACCTTGTACCTTTACCGAGCCAAATTATTTTACATTCAAAAGTATAGAGTTGTGCTACACTTACTATTCACCTGTCTTGTGTTGTAATGCAACACTGAAATGTCCCCACTGTGGGACGTCTGAAAATCTCTTAATCTTATCATTACTGACTGTTGCTAAAATGAAAACTGACTAAAACAAGTGCAGTCTAAAGTCACACAATGCTGCATTTACAAAAATACAGGAAAAAAAAAATAAAAAAAACTGGGGTCTCTCTTTGGCCTTCGTGCACCTATTGAAGGAAAAATATAAAAACCTTAGAATTTACAAAAATATGCATTTGCCAAGTCTACCACTACAACAACAAAAATACTTGGCTTTAAACATTTTTGGAGTCCTCATGAGGAAAATAGATAAACGATTTGGACCTATTTTGCTCCTGGTTTATTTTGTTTATTGCAAAGATGGCTTTGTTTACGCCTCTGAAATGTACGATTACTCCAGCCTCTGCCAGAGTTATTTAACATGCCTCATTTTCAGAGCAGTCGCTCTGACGTCTGGCACTGTCTCTCTGTGACGTAGAAGTCGAACTCTCCACGTCTCTATGTTTTGGCTGGAAATGTCTTTTCAGCTGTTTTATGCCAATCACACACTTTCACACTTCTGTTCCCAAAACTACAAGCCCCTCCCACTCTGCGGCTCTAGGCTCTAACAGAAACAATGTGTAATGTTGTGTGTGTGCTGTTTGTCATTATTGTCCTTATCTCTCTCATACCATTCTCTCTCTCTCTCTCAGACCAGTTACATTCACACCAAACTCTGTTTTCTACATCACAATCGAGCAATGCATATTTCCAAAGTTATGAAAACCTCAGGTCGTCTGACTAAAACATTACATTTACTAAATTGATTTGTGGGATTTGGTGACAATTTACATTCAAATACATTATAGACAGACAACTTCTGTCAGAGTACTATTATACTACAAGGGATTTTTACCATTTTATTTCTTATTTTTACACACAGACCACAGATTTAGTCTCGGCTGTGGAAAACAACTGGGCAATTTGAAAACACAGAAACTCTGGTTAACTCACAACCTTCAGATTATTCAGAACATTTCAATGGATTTATGAAAAATTCCTTTGTCATGTTTCGCCTCTAAAGAAAAGAATGTGTCCTTCACCCATTCGGGGACGTTATGTAATAAATAAAGTCCTTAATCAAGGAGTATGTGGCCCACGGAATTGATTAAAGTAACCTATCCCCCACTCTATTTTTCTCTTCTTTTTATTTTTTATTTTTTTTCTCTGACAATAGGGTTTGTCAAGCTACTCTAAACTTTAGAATAGTCTAAATTTGTGCATACGTCAATGATCACATCCATCCCCAAATGAGTGCTTGTGTTTGTGTTGTCCTGACTTCTGGACATGTGTAGATGTGTGTTTGAGTCATGTTTTGTTTACGATACCCGGACCATGGTCTGCCTCGTCCAGATCGTCCGTGGGACCCTCCCAGACCCTCGTCCTCCAGTCAGTCAGTCCCATATCGTTCATGCTGGTTCCTGTGGAACTGTCCGGAAACGTGGTGGGCCTGGGGCCATTTTGTCAGAACCAGTTGTTGCTTTGTCTCTGTCCACTCTTTGACTGCTGCTGTGGGCGGGGCTTCCCTTGTCAGTGGGAAAGTTTCTTGTGAACTGCCCTATCTCTTCACAGGGGTAGAAGCCTGTGGTCCTCTCTCTACACAGGGATAGAAGCCTGTGTTCCCATTCTCTGCAGGGATAGAAGCCTGTGGTCCTCTCTCTACACAGGGATAGAAGCCTGTGGTCCTCTCTCTACACAGGGATAGAAGCCTGTGTTCCCATTCTCTGCAGGGATAGAAGCCTGTGGTCCTCTCTCTACACAGGGATAGAAGCCTGTGGTCCTCTCTCTACACAGGGATAGAAGCCTGTGTTCCCATTCTCTGCAGGGATAGAAGCCTGTGGTCCTCTCTCTACACAGGGATAGAAGCCTGTGGTCCTCTCTCTACACAGGGATAGAAGCCTGTGGTCCTCTCTCTACACAGGGATAGAAGCCTGTGGTCCTCTCTCTACACAGGGATAGAAGCCTGTGGTCCTCTCTCTACACAGGGATAGAAGCCTGTGGTCCCATTCTCTGCAGGGATAGAAGCCTGTGGTCCCACCTGTATCAGGGCGGGTGATGGGCGGAGGGGGGGCAGAGTTCTTGGCATGTGTGAACTGGTTTAGGCACAGGGGGCCGGGGACAGAGTTCTTGGCTTTCATGACTGTTTGGGGCACCAGACTTGTCCATGTTGGGCTTTGTGGGTAACTGACGAGGGTTCTGGTTCAGGAAGGGGTTTGTCTTACCCTCCATATCATTGTCCTCCATCAGAGTCTGAGGTTTGGGGACGTTTAGTCACACGTCCAGGGTCTAGGTCGGGGTCCACACATCTGACCGGCTCAGAAGCATCCACGATCCCAGGGTTATCTATGTGAAAATAGAAAAAAAAAGATACGGCGGTAACTTGCCCTTTGATAGATTGCGTCTCTATGTTTTACCATGTCTTACCATAGAGCAGACAGAAGGATTCTTACCATAGAGCAGACAGAAGGATTCTTACCATAGAGCAGACAGAAGGATTCTTACCATAGAGCAGACAGAAGGAGTCTTACCATAGAGCAGACAGAAGGATTCTTACCATAGAGCAGACAGAAGGATTCTTACCATAGAGCAGACAGAAGGATTCTTACCATAGAGCAGACAGAAGGATTCTTACCATAGAGCAGACAGAAGGATTCTTACCATAGAGCAGGTAGAAGGATTCTTACCATAGAGCAGGTAGAAGGATTCTTACCATAGAGCAGGTAGAAGGATTCTTACCATAGAGCAGGCAGAAGGATGCTTACCATAGAGCAGGTAGAAGGATTCTTACCATAGAGCAGGTAGAAGGATTCTTACCATAGAGCAGACAGAAGGATTCTTACCATAGAGCAGACAGAAGGATTCTTACCATAGAGCAGACAGAAGGAATCTTACCATAGAGCAGGTAGAAGGATTCTTACCATAGAGCAGGCAGAAGGATTCTGACCATAGAGCAGGCAGAAGGATTCTTACCATAGAGCAGACAGAAGGATTCTTACCATAGAGCAGGCAGAAGGATTCTTACCATAGAGCAGGCAGAAGGATTCTTACCATAGAGCAGACAGAAGGATTCTTACCATAGAGCAGGCAGAAGGATTCTTACCATAGAGCAGGTAGAAGGATTCTTACCATAGAGCAGGCAGAAGGATTCTTACCATAGAGCAGGCAGAAGGATTCTTACCATAGAGCAGGCAGAAGGATGCTTACCATAGAGCAGGCAGAAGGATGCTTACCATAGAGCAGGCAGAAGGATTCTTACCATAGAGCAGGTAGAAGGATTCTTACCATAGAGCAGACAGAAGGATTATTACCATAGAGCAGACAGAAGGATTCTTACCATAGAGCAGGTAGAAGGATTCTTACCATAGAGCAGGCAGAAGGATTCTTACCATAGAGCAGGCAGAAGGATTCTTACCATAGAGCAGACAGAAGGATTCTTACCATAGAGCAGACAGAAGGATTCTTACCATAGAGCAGACAGAAGGATTCTTACCATAGAGCAGACAGAAGGATTCTTACCATAGAGCAGACAGAAGGATTCTTACCATAGAGCAGGTAGAAGGATTCTTACCATAGAGCAAGCAGAAGGATTCTGACCATAGAGCAGGCATAAGGATTATTACCATAGAGCAGACAGAAGGATTCTTACCATAGAGCAGGCAGAAGGATTCTTACCATAGAGCAGGCAGAAGGATTCTTACCATAGAGCAGACAGAAGGGTTCTTACCATAGAGCAGGCAGAAGGATTCTTACCATAGAGCAGGCAGAAGGATTCTTACCATAGAGCAGGCAGAAGGATGCTTACCATAGAGCAGGTAGAAGGATTCTTACCATAGAGCAGACAGAAGGATTCTTACCATAGAGCAGGTAGAAGGATTCTTACCATAGAGCAGGTAGAAGGATTCTTACCATAGAGCAGGTAGAAGGATTCTTACCATAGAGCAGGCAAAAGGATTCTTACCATAGAGCAGGCAGAAGGATTCTTACCATAGAGCAGACAGAAGGATTCTTACCATAGAGCAGACAGAAGGATTCTTACCATAGAGCAGGCAGAAGGATTCTTACCATAGAGCAGACAGAAGGATTCTTACCATAGAGCAGACAGAAGGATTCTTACCATAGAGCAGACAGAAGGATTCTTACCATAGAGCAGGTAGAAGGATTCTTACCATAGAGCAAGCAGAAGGATTCTGACCATAGAGCAGGCATAAGGATTATTACCATAGAG